GAGCCACCGAAAACTCCGGAGCCTCCGAAGCCTCCGAAGACTCCGAAGCCACCGAAGCCTCCGAAGCCACCGAAGCCTCCGAAGCCTCCGAAGACTCCGAAGCCACCGAAGCCTCCGAAGCCTCCGAAGCCACCGAAGCCTCCGAAGACTCCGAAGCCTCCGAAGCCACCGAAAACTCCGGAGGCACCGAAGCCACCGAAGACTCCGGAGCCACCGAAGCAATTCAATATCTAAAGTCCCTTAAAATCAGAAATAAATGGTATTTTTAAAATTTTTGCGCGGAACCTTAGTATTTTCAACCGGCTTTAAAATAAGGAGGAGGTTCTCAATTCGATTGTATTTTTTTTATTTTTGTTCCCTCAGAACTTTCGACTCTAAATATTAAAACACAATGTAGAATGAAAGACGTTAAGACGATTTTCGTCAGTGTGGCAATCTGCCGTTTAGCTTAGTGGCTAAAGCGGCCGCGATTGCCGAAGACGTGGGTTCGATTCCCACAGCGGCGACAATCTTTTCTAATTTTTCTAGTAACTTTAATATTATTTATCACAACGCATATTAATAACGTCCGTAACAGAGCCGCGTTCGTCTCCGGCCGGCTAAGCACTTTAACCAGTCAAGTAAAATGTCCTTAACCCTTACAGGACCATAAGATGTCCAAGACTAAATATGCCGATACAACACAATATTTTAGCTATTGTGGGTATAAAGTAAGAGGATATCTCCAGAAAAAACATAGAAGGATGTATAGGTTTCCTATAATTTAATGGGAAATATTTTTCCCTATGGACCATAAAAGTAAATAAATAAAGAGTAAGGTTTATTTTATCGGTATTTTATTTATTGCTTTGTAATACAAAAAACACAGTAAAAATTATCAGAAAAGTAAAATAAATAGTTAGTTATGGTATTCTACGAAACAATTTCGTTTACTTGTGAAGCACAAGTGTTCATTGCACATAACACATTTATTATGTCTCCTATTTTCTATACGTCGTTCTGCACAGTTTACGTATCGCTTCAGTTTATTTCCAATGCGGAGCTTTTCAGAGGAGACTTAAGTGATTCTTGTTTGCTGTCTACATGTAAAATATCGGAATACTTGGCGTCGAAATCTCGAGCAATGTCCAGTTCCGGGGTCAATTGGAAAGTAAGACCACATTGGCTTCAAAGAAGGTAGGTTCGCTCAGTAAGGCGAGACATCACGTCGGCGCAACGCCTAAACCTTTATAAGGCGCAAATTCGGCCCCACATGGAGTACTGTTGTCACCTCTGGGCGGGAGCCGCCTATTACCAACTTCTTCCATTTGACCACATCCAACGTAGGGCAGCTTGGGTTATCGACGATCAAAGTCTTTCCGATCGACTTCATACTTTGGTTCTGCGTAGACATGTTGGATCATTCTGCATCTTCTACCACACCTATCACGGGGAGTGTTCCGAAGAATTGTTTGGATTGATTCTGGCGGCCGAATTTCACCATCGGACAAAAACCAAAAATTTCATCCACACCACCTCGATTTCCAGCGTTCCTCAACAGCGAGATTTTCAAGGCATTTCCTGCCTCGTACAACCGCTCTGTGGAACCAGCTGTCGCCGGGTGTGTCAAAAAGAGAGCATACTCTTTCCTAAAAGGCTTGCAACACATTTGTAAACCCTCTAGTGTTGCAGGTGTCCATGGGCGGCGGTGATCACTTACCATCAGGTGAGCCTCCTGCTCGTTTGCCGCTTTCTTCCCATAAAAAAAATATTAGACCTCGTGCTACATGTTGATGATACTTCTTGAACAGAATCTTCAATTTCAACAACATCGGTTCCATTTTCTACATCTTGAGCTATGAACTGCTGGTCTTCTTCGTCTAACTGTAGTCTGTAGTAAGTTATCTTCTCCGTCACTACTATCGCCATAAGCAATAGTTCTTCATCTTGAATATGAAATTCTCTGCACTTTTAGTCTTTTCTGTAAAAAAACCATGAAGGTAAACTGTATAAAATACAAGAAAATACAAGAAATCCCTACATTATCATAAAGCACTACATATAATAATAATACAACGAATACACCAGATATGGACCAGAGGGAAAAATATTTCCCTTTAGATGATTTGCAATTTTCAGGTACTTGTGCTAATGTTCTGCAGTTTACTGTATTATTACAAAAAATTATACTTACCAAATAATGTAAAACACGTGACAAAATAAAGTTATTTTTATTTGCTCAAGTCCAAAACACTTCCTAGATATTATTAATTCAGCCCGCGAATGTTTTGGTTTTGGCGCAATAAAGTTAGACAGTTATTTTTTGTTTATTCATTCAGAAACACATTTGCCGCCTTGGACATACGTTTTACTTTGACATTTAGTAAAAAAAATATCAATTCAATAATAATTGAACAATCGATAATGATTTTTGTAGAAGGGAAAAATATTTCCCTTGGGCGTGAAAGGGTTAAGACACAAATTACTTTTATACAAAGCTTGCGTACGGCCAATCATGTCCTACGCATGCATGATTTTCGCCCACACGCACCCTACTAGCTTGCACAAATTGCGAGTGGTGCAAAATAAGTTCATCCGGTGCGCAGTGGTATCAACGCAACGTCGACCTGCACAGCGATTGCAGACTCCCGACGATTCGCGAATTTTTCAAAGACCTGACCAAACGGTTCTTCGATAGAGCCGAACAGCATCCCAACCCTCTGGTGGTATGCGCAGCAAATTCACCGATCCAAACGCGAACGTCAACACTCAACAAGCGTCGCCCGCGAAACGTCCTCATCGACTCGATCGATGAAGGGGACTTAGGTACTTCGGACCCACCGTCGGGGGTCCCGCCGGATAACACTACAGACACAGTTAGTGTAGCAACAAACACATTAGTTCGCCCTCGCCTCCGAGCACGGCGAGACCAACACAACGCGTACACAAGGTACACCCGCGTTCCAGGGCGGTTCTCACCGCCCCCAGCCACCGATTAGCTAAAATCACAGTCGATGGCCTTCGGGGTCTCGGTCCGCACCGCAACTTGGCCCTTAGATGGCCCTTAGATGACAAGTCGCAGTTAAACGCACGCATGAGCACATGCGCGGCCCTACCCACAGCGGAGGGCCCAAACCCGTGGGTTCTGGCTAGCCCACCGGTTCTGCGTCAGATGAAGCTTTAATAGTCTCGGGACTGAAAGCACAAACATCAGTTATCTAAAAAAAATCATCAATCATTTGTGATTATATACATCTTGCATTTGTTTGTTACATGTTTCACAGCTTTAGAGTAAATAACCTGAAGAAATTTAAGGACGAATATTATGTGCTTAACAACGTAAAACACTTAAACGTAAAAAAACAAACGTATTTAACGTAAAGAAATTCGTAATCCGAATAAGTAGTGCGGGATTGATCGTTTTATCTTAATGTGACACTGTGGCAAACTGGCGGTTCACCTGATGTTAAGTGATAAACGCGGCCCATGGACATTTGCAACGCTCGCAGTTAGAATTAACTTCCCACTCGATAAAACTTTGTATCTTTCTTCATTTTTAATTCGCTACAAATAATGCTTGGTTTTGGTTTTGAAAAATTATATTTAAACTTATAAAAATTATATTTGTAATGTCTTAGCATAGAAGGTGGTTAAAGGCAGACACGAAGACTTATTTCACAACTTTAATGTCCTTTTACATGAACAGTTTTGTGTTTTTGGAACAGTTTTAAACTACATACTGCAGCGTAGACAAAAGATATATGGCGAGGCGGGCACTATCCTACGATGGCGCTTGCGACGCGACAACGAATCCGTAAAACGACGGAGTAGATGTCGGTGCATTGAAGGAGAAAAAGTTTACTTGTGATAGCGTACTCAACTCGTTACATATTTTTTTTAATAATACTTCTGATTAATATCGCCATTACAACAATAACATGTAAGATATAACAATAGTTGCGCCAAGCATTGCTTCAAATGCTAAATAACAATGTAGAAAGAAGGCGTTAAGATTTTCGTCGCTGCGGCCATCAGCCGTTTAGCTCAGTGGCTAGAGCGTCAGGCCGCGAATACCGAAGACGTGGGTTCGATTCCCACAGCGGCGACAATCTCTTCGTACTGTTTCTACATGTTTTAATGTTCAATCTTAAGTGCAGAGATTAGCACAATAAAAAACTTTAAAATTTATAAAAAGCAATGGCGACATCTCTTGTTCGAATTATCGTTGTAAAACGTTATTCGAAATTGTTTGTATGCTGGAAAGGATATAACAATAGATGCGCCAAGCATTGCTTCAAATGCTAAATAACAATGTAGAAGGAAGGCGTTAAGATTTTCGTCGCTGCGGCCATCAGCCGTTTAGCTCAGTGGCTAGAGTGTCAGGCCGCGAATGCCGAAGACGTGGGTTCGATTCCCACAGCGGCGACAATCTCTTCGTACTGTTTCTACATGTATTAATGTTCAATCTTAAGTGCAGAGATTAGCACAATAAAAAACTTTAAAATTAATAACATGTAACATAAATAAGTAACAATATTTTTGAGATGATTAAATTGTTTTTACAATACTGCCATCTAGTTGAAGTTGACACAATTAAAATTTCAACGATTTGTTCATACAAAGTAGTTTGTATAGGAGTGAAAAGACCTGACGCACTCGTTACGTCCCGCTCGTGGCCCTACCATAAATGGCATAGTAAATGATTATGTTTTACACTAGCAAATTCATTTTTTAATTAATCCTTTAAAAATGAATACCAAAATACCAATTGTTCCTTAGTAAAAATGAAATGTTAATAAATACAAGATTTTTAATTAACTGTGATTTATATATCGGACCGTGAAATGCGTATAAATTTGCCACACGCAACTTGACTGTCGACTGTTTTCTTTTCATGTGTTATTATTGATTAATTCCTCCTGTACTGAATGTAATTTTGGCAACTGTTTCTAAACTGTTTGAAACGAGATCAATTCGGGAATAATGTCGCCGACGCTTAGTTTCATCGTAATTTTATTGATTTGTGATCTATTTTCCGCATCTCAGGCAAGTTTGGTTTTTTCTTTAATGAAAAAATATGTTGCTGCACTCTACTCAAGCTCACTGTAGTGAACTCAATAGCGTTATTTTTATTTTCTCTAAAAATATAATTTGTAAATATATTGACTTCTTGTTTTTACGTTAATATTGTACAGGGTTAAATGAATGCATTTTAACGAAGATTAGGTTTTATTGCGTTGTAATTTGATTTTTACGGGACAGTGCCGTTACCATGTCCGCTGGAAGGTGTTTGAAACATCGGGAATTTAAAATTCAAATTAAAACACGATACAATCCGTAATCTAATTTTATTTAAAATTTTTCTTTTTTCTTTTCTTATTTTTTTAAAACATTGTCCTTACTTAAGGATAGCAACCCTGTATTGTAAGGACGTTTACAAACAAAAATTTCACGTGGACAAGCACCCAGATGCGAAACAACTATCAGTGGGTCAAACAAATTCGCCGCAGCCAATACCGCGGCAGCCGCGCTAGGAGTCGTCTTTCCTTCCTTTTCTACTGTCGACGTTCTCACGTGTATATACATAATTATATGTTGTTCTTCTTTCATCAGGGTTCTCCAATCGATGTTTGCTTGGGAGGAGCTAAATTTTGCCATCGTGCCCTTCAAGTAAGTCTAACGTAAGAGTAACGCACGCACGCACGCACGCACGCACGCACGCACGCACGCACGCACGCACGCACGCACGCACGCACGCACGCACGCACGCACGCACGCACGCACGCACGCACGCACGCACGCACGCACGCACGCACGCACGCACGCACGCACGCACGCACGCACGCACGCACGCACGCACGCACGCGCGCACGCACGCACGCGCGCACGCACGCACGCACACACACACACACACACACACACACACACATGTGTAGAACTCTCTTTATTCAATCTTCTTATACCTGGACAGTTACTTAAGACAAATTATTTTATGTACAATTATTCCAGCTTTGTTAACTATGCTTGATTCCGTGGGGTGAGGACCTGGTGATCTGTAATACAGGTTTTTTACACCTATAATAGACACCAGCTCCGCACAATTACCTGATTAAATTTTTTACTGAAGCTGTACCAACTTATGATATTGTATCTTGTTGTCATGTATTGTGAGGAGAAATAAATACATTATTATTGTTATGGGGGATATTCATTTGTTTTCTCGTCTGGTTGGGTTTATAAATAAAAATAAAAATAAAAATAAAGATATAGATATATATTGCATATATGAAATAAATATTATGGATAAAAATAAACATATATATATATATATATATATATATATATATTGTTATTATTATTATTATATGCGGTGACAAGACATGAGTTTCTTTATTCTCAATCCGTAATTAAAACATTACTGTATTTCTAAATAAAGACGTATTCAATTTGAAAATTGTATAAAATTATTTCGCTCTGACCCTTTAGGCTACGTTTCTATTGTAGAACATTGTTATATGTGATGTATTTAAATTGTAAGGTTGGTTCGGTTGCTGCGTAGGCTTAATTTCTTTTCTCACACCGAAAAAGTATTTAAGAACAGATAATTCTTTCGGATCCGAGTGTATTTTTGCCTTTGCAAATTTTGCACAGATTAACATGGACCGATTTCGCTAATTCTTTTTTTATAATATTCCTTGAAGTAGGAAGATGGTTCTTACGGAGAGAAAAATTAAAAAAATTGCCTGAAAAAGTCTAAGAACAACAATTTTCTATATTCCAGTACAAAAGATTCGTAATAATACTTAAAAGTCAATTTGAACTTTAATACCATACCATAAAGTTTAAGTGTTAGTGGATGGGTGCCGGGAAGGCAAAACAAGTGTGTGACTGTGGTAAAATGTCACTTGAAATGTAAACGTCTCTTTGCTGTGCATCATCAATCACTACATAGTATAAAACAAAGTCGTCCCGCTGTCTGTCTGTCCCTATGTACGCTTAGATCTTTAAAACTACGTAACGTATAATGAAGCATGCTCTAACAGTTTGGAGGGTTTAAAGCGCTTCTTGTTTCACTCTGGACTGAGTGAAACAAATTTTCTGGAGCTTTATTGGGTAAATATTGGACATAACTTGTGATATTAAAAATTAATATCAAAAATATTTTTTTAGTACAATCTTGCGTACGCACAAACGGTATACTTTAAAGTTCTAGGTAAAGTGAAACATGTTTTTGGTATCCGTACGATATATTATAAATTACGTAAAACTTTTGTATTCGGACACACAAAGAAGCTACGTTGGATATGGCCGAAGCCGTGGAATTGGCCAAGGCCGAAGCCGCCGCCCAATAAGCCGTCGCCCAATAAGCCGTCGCCCAATAAGCCGCCCAAGCCGAAACCTGATATGCCTGATATAGCTGATGTGAGTAATCTAATATGTTAAAAATTAAAGTAATTTTACGGATTTATCGCGTTTATTTTTAATTTAAATTTCCTACGTTTCGAACCCTTTACAGCGTTCATGGTCATGGGACAGACTGAGGCGTTGGACGTCTGATTGTCATTGTTAACCCAGGCTACCGTCAGTTTTTGAAATGCTAAATTTGTGTCCGATGTATGCAGAAGGAGCTAATTGTATCTTGTCTTGTAGTAGTGGTTTCGTTTGGGCCTAGATTTAATTTTATTGATGATAGGATCCCAGGCTGATGGTAGCAAGCAACCCTCTTCTCTATTGAAATTAGGATGTTTTTTTAATTTCAATAGCCTCGCGAATCATTATTGGGAGAGGAATCGGTGTTCTTTTGCAAGGATCTGTCGTCTTTCAAACCTGACGTAGTGGTTGGGCCGATTTAATGTGTGCTCACAAACTGCAGATTTTGTTCGATCTACTATGTTTCTATTGCTATGTAAGTGAGCCCACATTCACAGTCAAGTTTGTACACTCCTGGATCTTGCAGAGGGATATTACACTTGACAGATGGTAAAAACTGACTAATCTTCTTCGGCGGCTTGTAGAGTGTGTTAATTGAAGCCTCCTTTAAGATATCTTGTGACTCATATGACGTATGGTAAAATAGCAGGTACTCGCTCCACTGTGGATGGTTTCACTCGGTCACAGTGACGTCGGCGCGGTGCACTAAATTTGTTGTCGTGCAGTACTTGCTTGACATGTTGAAGCTCAGCGGCCAGGTGTTTCTTGTTACAGATCCCCTGTGCTCTCTGAAGCAAAGATTTACCCACGGTAGCTAACTGGGATGGATGGTGGCGAGAGTCACCGTTGAGGTATCTATTTGTATGGCTTGCCTTCCTAAACACAGTGTGGCTCGGTGTTATTTGGATTGCGGATGGCCAAAACACTAAGAGTGCTAAAGAGTTATTATTCTCTAATTCTTAAGATCTTCGCGCTTCCTCGAATGTCCTTCTTCGATGACAATCAGACGTCCAACGCCTCAGTCTGTCCCATGACCATGAACGCTGTAAAGGCTTCGAAACGTCGGGAATTAAAAATAAACGCGATATATCCCTAAAATAGTTTCATTTATAATGTGTAATCGCGTAAATATAAGAAATTATAATCTAATATGTGTTAGAATTATAGATTGTACATCCGTAGCCTAGGTATTTTTTTCAATTTAGTAACAAATATCCTGTATATATTTAATGTTTTCTGCAAGTTACACTCCTACGTTTATCTTTTTACTATTCATAAAAAGATATAAACAAATAGTAATAAGTAAAAAGATATAGACCCAACGGGATCAGTCAGTATGTTCAGTAATGCTTTTGGATGACGTTAGGTATAATTTAATTAGTATTTGAAAAGTGTCACAAAATATTAGAGTAAAGAAATGCCTTGTAAGAACTTTTTCATTTCAAAACCAAAAAGATACAAGTTAGCGCGTGAACCGCTAAAAAGTCCCTATTTGCCATAACTCCTGATTTTGAGAACACTGTCTGACACAGATAGTATCGGAATATTTGACGTCAAAATTTGAGCGACGTCCAGTTAAGCGTTCAATTGGAAGGTAAGGCCAAATTGGCCTCAAAGAAGCTTGGTGTGCTCAGCGAGGCGAGACAATATTTCACGTCGGCTCAAATTCGGCCCCACATGGCCGCATCTCTGGGTGTGAGCCCCCCATTACCAGCTTCTCCCATTTGACCGCCTTCAAAGCGCGGTTCGTGTAATCGAAGATCAAGTTCTTTCCGATCTTTGGCTCAGCGTAGAGATGTTGGATCACTCTGCGTCTTCTATCGCATGTGTCACGGGGAGTGATCCGAGAAAAAGTTTCGATTGATCCCGCTAAATATCACCGGCGGACATCGCGCTAAAACCATAAATTTCATCCACACCACCTCGAAGTCCAGCTTTCCACAATAGCGCGATTTTCAGGACATTTCCTGTCTCGCCGACTGCTCTGAGCTGCCGCCGGTGATCTTTCCGAACCGTCACGACCTAACCTTCAAGAAGAGCATGCTTTCCTGACAGGCCGGCAACGCATTTGTAAGCCCTCCGTGTTGCAGATCTTCATGGGTGGCAGTGATCACTTTCCATCAAGCGAGCCTCCTGTCCGTTTGCCCCATAAAAAAATAAAATCCTTGAACGCAAATTTCACAAATATAGTTTAATATAAACCGCAACTGCTTGCTAATGCAAAATTAATTTACTTTTTAAGGTACCACCGTGAGTATTTAAACTTTTTTTATTAACAGCATGAAATTTACAAGAGGTGGGAATGTAAATTCGTTAAGACCGCTTGCCCTTGATTGGTTATACATAATGTTAACTGTTAGAATTGTAAGTAAGTGTCCTTTTTTTTCTGATACGATGAAGACTGTTTCGTAGTGAAAGACAATGAGAGAATAATGGAGATATTGGTGATTAGATATGCTGGTCAGGCATTCCGTTCTCAGGGCATACAAACATTTTCCACAATAAACAGAAACAGTTCTTGGTGAAGTTTGTTCTGATCCAAAAGGGAAAAAAATATTGCTCTATTGGATTTTGTCAGTTCTGTTTTCTACTAACACAGGGCCTGTAAAACAGGGCATCTTGGTATTTAATGCTTTGGGATTAAATAAGACCTATGCTAGAACTTGTAATCAGTTTTGTATTGAACGCGCAAATAGGGTGTCATCAAAACGACAATGATTACTAAAAGTAAAAATTCCTTAAAAATAAAACAATTCCTAACGATTTTGATATTTGGTATGCATATTCTGATTGTTGAAATACGCTAATCAAAACTTTTTTTTACAGTCCATCATACGAGGAATACTAAAGGGTAGTTGCAGGAGGTAAAACTTAATAAAGATTTTCAGTATCGAAGTCGCCTGTTTCTATTACCCATCATTACCCATTGAAAGTCAATGTTACTTTATTTATTAATCCTGTATTCGTTAGTATTGAATGAATAGATACAGAGCATAGTCGTTTAATTATTGCATATTATTCATGTTTATGTTATGCTTTAATGGTTTATTTTATTAATAACTAGCTTTTACTCGCGTTATACCCGCGTTGAAGCCTTTAAATAAATATTTTTTTTTATATATTTTTTTATTAAAAAGAATCCTATGTCCTTTTTAATACCTCTAAGAATATATGAACAAATTTTCTTGATAATCGTTTGAAAAGTTTTGGCCTGAAAGCGTAACAAACAAACTTCATTCACAGTTATAATATTAATAAGGAGGGATGATGTGGCCTCAAAATATTGAGCTTTTGGTGCGCGAAAAGCCTGACCTGAGAAGATCCGGCGAAAGAAACTCAGTAGGACATTTTTTTTACAATTATTTGACAAGAAACGTGTGAGAAATTTAAATTTTTACAGTGCTAATCTCTGTACTTAAGTTTGACATTAAAATTTGTAGAAAAAGTCTGAAAAAATTGTCGCTGCTGTGGGCATCGAACCCACGTCTTCAGCATTCACGGCCTGACGCTTTAGTACTTTTTCTACAAATTTTAATAAGAAACGTGTTAACAATATATATATATATATATATATATATATATATATATATATATATATATACAGTATAAAGGTCACTTGAATGATCAATTAATTTACAGGGTGTGTTTTTATTTAAATAATCACTTATATTATTATAGCCGTTACCACACAAATGTTCCTATACAATGCTTGAATTTAGAAGTTGATACATTGTGGATTTTTTTGGGATTTCGTTGTAAAAACGCAAAGATTGTCCCATAAAATAATTTCTTATTCTACTCAGTTTAGTTGTGGGTAGAATGAATTTATGTTTGTGTATCTTGTATTAACTGATGTTTTTGCTTTCAGTCCCGCGACTATTAAAGCTTCATCTGACGCAGAACCGGTGGGCTAGCCAGAACCCACGGGTTTGGGCCCTCCGCTGTGGGTAGGGCCGCGCATGTGCTCATGCGTGCGTTTAACTATGACATGTCATCTAAGGGCCATCGAAGTTGCGGTGCGGACCGAGACCCCGATGGCCGTCGACTGTGTTTTTTTTAGCTAATCGGTGGCTGCGGGCGGTGAGAACCGCCCTGGAACGCGGGTGTACCTTGTGTACGCGTTGTGTTGGTCTCGCCGTGCTCGGAGGCGAGGGCGAACTATTGTGTTTGTTGGTACACTAGCTGTGGGTGTAGTGTTATCCGGCGGGACCCCCGGCGGTGGGTCCGGCGTATCTAAGTCCCCTTCCTCGACCGGGTCGATGAGGACGTTTCGCGGGCGACACTTGTTGACGTTCGCGTTTGTGTCGGGTTGGTAATTTGCTGCGCTTACCACCAGAGGGTTGGGATGATGTTCGGCTCTATCGAAGAACCGTTTTGTCAGATCTTTGAAATATTCGCGAATCGTCGGGAGTCTGCAACCGCTGTGCAGATCGACGTTGCGTTGATATCACTGCGCACCGGTTGCACGGCGGATGAACTTATTTTGTACTATTTGCAGCTTGTACAAGCGAGTAGGGTGCGTGTGGGCGAAGGTCATGCATGCGTAGGACATAATAGGTCGTACGCAGGTCTTATATAATAATAATTTGTGCCTTAAGGGCATTTTACTTTTAGCGTTAGTTAAATTGTGTAGCCGGCCGGAGACGAACGCGGCTCTATTACGAACGTTATTAATGTGCGTAGTAAATGACATACGCGAGTCGAAAGTGACTCCTAAGTATTTGACCTTTTTCTCCCAGGGGAGCGGTTGGCCATAAAGGGATATTTGCCCCAACTTTCTGCATTGGCGAGGGCCATTATAAAGATGTGACGGGTAAGTACTTCGTGTGTGAAGTGAATCGCCACACTTTTTTCGGGATTTATTTCTATTCTCCATTTGCGGAACCAATCGCCGAGGCGTTCGGCGGCGCTTTGGAGTCGAGTGGTTAGTATTCTAAGGTTGCGGTCTGAATAAAAGAGCGCGGTGTCATCCGCGAAAAGCGCGAGATTGACGTGGGGGTCTTTGGGTATGTCGCTCGTGTAGAGCGTAAAGAGCAAAGGTGAGAGGCAGGAGCCTTGTGGTACGCCGGCCGTGAGGCGGCGGCTTGTGGAGAGGGTGCCCTCGACTCGATATCGAAAGGAGCGATTCAACAAAAAGGCCCGGATGGTGTGTACGAGCCTATCTGGCACTTTGAGTGTGTACAGCTTGTAAAGCAAGCCGTTGTGCCAGACCTTGTCGAATGCCTTTGCGACATCGAAGAAAAGAGCCCCTGTACTGATATGTTTCGGGTGGTTTAGGCCTTTTAGGATGTGCTCCGTCAGGCGGTATAACTGGTCGGGACAAGAGTGTCTAGCTCGAAAGCCGAATTGTTCCGTGGGCAGAAGGCCGTTGGAAAATACGTGCTCTTTGAGCCTGTTTAATAAGAGCCGCTCGTAGAGCTTCCCCAGGCAACTGAGGAGGCTGATGGGACGATAGCTAGAGGGCTGGTTGGCTGGTTTATTCGGCTTGCGAATGCCGATAACCGTGGCTTGTTTCCAGTCGTCCGGAAAGGAGCAACTGGAGAGTAGAGTGTTGAAAATGGTCGCCAGTAAACAGATAAGCGGCCCAGGGAGAGCTTTGAGAATTTTGTTACTGATCTTATCTGGGCCCGGGGCGGATTTCGGTTTTAAATTTTTAATAATATCTTGGACCTCTTCGGGGGTCACTGAACTTAAAGGATCGCCTTCCGGTGGAAGCGCAGCCCTAGTCTGGATTACACGGTCCACCTCCGTTAGGTGGACTGTATCGGTGTGTTCGCGCGATGGCGTACATTGCTGCTCTAGGTTGTCCGCAAGGCATTCAGCTTTTTCGGAGTCATCTAGGGCTACTGAAGCGCTGTTAGGTCTAATTAATGGCGGTAGAGATTCGCGGGGGTCTGCTTTCAGACTGCGGGCCAACCGCCAGTAGGCGGTGTGCGATGGCTCGATGTCCTCTAGGAGAGTGTCCCACGTTGTATGTCGGTGTTCCGATACACGATCTTTGACTTCTAGCTGAAGGCGTCGAAGTAGGGTTCGGTTCGATTCCGATCGGTATCGGTCGAAGGCGCGTTTGGCTGCATTTTTTCTGTCTAATTAGCAGTCTTAGGTCGGGCGGAAAGTTAAACCGTCGGTCGCCCGACAGTTCCACCGTCCGTTCCGAGTCTGTGACTGCGGAAGTAATGGTTTCTCGGAGACTTGCTATCGCTCGATTTGCGTCATCGAACGTAGATATCGTCTCGGGTAGTTCGATTAAGTCCTGGGGGTCCAAGGCCTTGAGTTTGACCTCAAGACGATGCCAGTCCACTACGGATTTGGTCGTAGGGACCGCGCCGGCGTTCTGGCCCAGTTTACACAGGACGGGCCTGTGATCTGAATCTAGTTCGTGGATTGTCTCTATCGACTCGATGTCGAGCGAGACCTCCTTGAATAACATGATATCTAGGATACTCGGTGTCGCATGTTGGTAGTTGTCCACCGTAGGATACCTAGTGGGAGTCGTAGGAGCGATTATGCTAAAGTTTAAATTATCGGATAAGCTAAAGAGATGCTTTCCGTTGTTATTTGGGATGCTGTGGATGTCCCATGAGCCGTGTTTGCAGTTTAGATCTCCTGCAATTATCACGGAAGGGCCTAAGTTGAGTAGCGTATCTAGGTCGCTTTGTAATAAGGTTTTGTTCCCCGAGAGGTAGGCTGAGACTAGTACAAGCGGCCTGTGGCCGGTGAGCGCTAACCTACACGCGGATGCCTCTATTTGACTTAGCTCTGGAATGTCGAGCGGGCAACAGTGCAAGGACCGTTTATAATAAATTAGTGTGCCTCCCAGACGGTTTGCTAACCGGTCGTGGCGGACAATATTGTAATTTGCGATTCTGGGATCGCGTACACTAGGTTTCAAGAATGTCTCTTGCACTAGAAAAATATCTACGTTATAATCGCGAAGGAATTCCGCGATTTCGTCCCTTTGGCCCTTTATGCCGTTTGCGTTGAAATACGAAACAACCAGAGCCCGAGGTTTTGTTCTACCTGCGGTTGTACTTCCCATTAAGGTGTTTTTATGGGTCTAGTTAACGACGCGGCGGAGCGCGTTTTTATTGCGCGGACTATTGTCTTTTACGGTTGGCTCGTAAAAGCCCAAAGGGCTTCCACAAGCGTTTTATGTTGGCTAATTGCCCTAAGACGCTCGTGGCCAGATGTGGCGGCCGCTATTTTAGCGGACAATACGGCGAGTTCCTGCCTATTGATCCTATCTAATAAGCTGCAAATATTAGCGATTTGCGCGAATGGGTCGTCCTTGTTTTCCGCGAAAACTGACGGAGTTGGCTGCACCTGCGGCCCGCGGCGCCGTTTGAGAGGCGGGGCAGCTGTTGTGCGATCGGTCGTGAGGCGACCGGGATTACCGGCGCGGTTACCTGCGCGGCCACCTGGGGTTTCGTCCAGGCGTTTGTGACGGGTACGGGCGCGGGAATGAATCTAACGGGCGCGGGTTTGGGCAACGTGGATTTCGCGAGAGATTTCCTCGCGGGAGTTTTCGGGGGCCTTAGCGCAGCCTCTGTAGCTAGCCGGGTGGCCGGTGGCGTTACAGTTTACGCAGTCCGGTGGATCTGCGCAATCTTTCGGCCGCGTGCACTCGGTAGTGCCGTGGTCACCGGTGCATTTGACGCACCTTGGGTGAGCGAAGCAGTTATTGGCCGTGTGGCCAAAATGCTGACAGTTGTGGCACTGTGCCACAACACCTGACTTACGCGGGGGCTCGATGACTAAGTCACTGAGCCCACAGACCCTATTCAGG